CCTTAATGGGCACCAAATAAGTTTAGTCCACAGATATAAACACTAACAATAATGGTTCTTCTTAAAGGGCCCTGTACACTTTATGAAGTACTTGTGTTTACATGAAGTCACTTAATATTCACAGCAATCATAAAAAGAAAGCATCAACTCCTCCCTTTCATAGATGAAGAAATAGGTTCAGAGAAAATAAGAGACTTCACAAAAGTCACAGGTCAGTGAAGACTAGATGTGGCTTGAAAGCCAGCTGGTTTTAGTGCCGTGCAGCTAGAAAATTAAAAAAGAAAAGAACTCTAAGTATAAATATTCTAGAAGCAGTAAAACAGCTGACATGAGCAAGTGTGGTAGCTCTACAATAATCAACAAACCACTTTGGTTAAGGAACCATCCTAAAGAAATGTATTTGTAAAGAATTAGCAAAGAACCTGCAGCCTGCTTGACCTTTGGAGGCATGTTTATCTGGTTTTTAAAAATGTGCAAGAACAGGATGTTCCGAAACGAAATATGAGCATGGATAGTATCCGAGCCTCCTGTGCAGCTAAGCAGCCCCTGTGAGCACCGTAGCAATCACGTTACCAGGCAGCTCCACCTGATCGTTGAACTCTATTCTCAGATATTCTTAAAGCTGCTAAATAAACAGGGCAGTATTTTTAAATTCAGTCTTTCTCTTAGCCAGCTACTCCCATTGCTCAAGAAGCGTTAATTACCAATGAAATCAGTAGTTTCCTGTTAGTTCTGAATACCCAACTGATGCAGTTGAACAAAGCATCCCTCCTTCCCTAAGCACAAAGAGACGCCAAACACTGGCTGTCATTTATCGTTCAGATGCCTGCTCAGAGTGACATTTGCTGTTCTGCCAGGCCCCTCAGCGAAAGGATAAGAGTTAAACAGGAACATCAAAATAGAAATGTTGCAATGACCTCAGCATCCATAGCAGGGCCAGACTCCACACATGAAGTGTTCACTCCTTCTATGTGCATGGTTTTTTGAGAGCTCAGCCTTCAGCTTTTACACTCTTCTGCTACCTACAGTGCATGAGCTGGCTGTGCCCTTTCTCCTCCTCCAGCCTCAGTTTCCTTGCTGTAAGTTGGAACAATTGGAGCCGCTTCACAGGACAGGAATACGGTGAATTCCCTACACATGGTAGGTAGTCAGAAAGTATCAAAAACTATACTTCTTTAAAAGTCTAAATAAAAGGGTTGGGGAGATGGCTCCATGGGTAAAGTGCAAGTTTGAGAGCTTGAGTTCAAATCCCCAGTACCCATTTTAAAAATGCCAGGCACGGCAACATATATCTGTAACCCCAGTGCTAGAGGACAGAGGCAGGTGGATCTCAGGTGCTCTGGCCAGCCAGTCTAGTCAATCACTGAGCTCCAGGTTTAGGGAGTAACCCTGTCTGAATAACAATAGCAATAATAACAACAACAACATGGCAAAGCAACTGAGGAAGACACTCGTATGTCAGCCTCTGACACTTCACACACACACACACACACACACACACACACACACACACACCGTAAATAAATGAATTAGAAAAAAATTCCAAGCCAGGCATGGTGGCATATGCCTCTAATCCCAGCACCCAGGAGGCAGAGGCAGGTGAATCTCTGTGAGATAGAGGCCAGCCTGGACTACATAGGCAGTTCTAGGACAGCTGGAGCTACAGGGAGACCCTCAAAAAAAAATTAAGAAAGGGCAGGAGAGATGGCTCAGTGGTTAAGAGCACTGGCTGCTCTTGCAGAGGACCTGGGTTTAAATCCCAACACCCACACGGCAGCTAACAACCATCTATAACTCCAGGTCCAGAGGATCCAACGCCCTCTTCTGTCCTCCACAGCACTGCACACCATGGGTGCACTTAACACACATGCAGGCAGAACACATACACATAAAATAAAAATAAAGAAATAAAAACTAAGAAAAAAATTCTAAATAAGGCTAGATATGTGCTGCACTAATGTCTACAATCCCAGCACTTGGGCAGTGGAGTCAGGAGTTTAAGGCCAGCCTCAGCTACATAGTAAACTAGAGACCAGTCTGGATAGCATGAGACCCTATCTCAAAAAAAATTAAATTAAAAAAATCAATCAATAAAATTAGAATATTGCCTCAGATTCTGCAGAAAATTTTTACAAAAGTTAAATCCTGCAAACTAGGCCTGCTGTAGCACTTTTGATTTCTAGTACACACTGTGTTTTCACTTTGGAAGGCATCTCCTTATGCTGACAGTCACCTGAACGTTTAATATATTTGAGAACTTGTTTGAAGGTTCTAGCAGGGAAACACAGCTACTCGTATACCCTTGACCGAAGACTGGCCCTCCTCTATCAAATTTAACATATTTGAAAAGGCCCAGGGGCTCCCTGACTCACACATAACCTTTAAATAAAGCCATGCCTCTTTATTCATCCTGCTTCTTGTCTTCCAAAGAAAGGCAACATTGCACAAACTAAGTGGGTTTCCATGGTTTCTGTCCTTGAGTCACATTCTTAGTCCTGGAACAATATTACTGAATATTTTGCCTGGTGCCCTGTTTA